AACAATAACGAAGTTCCGAAACCCGTGGCGTTTTTCGTTTGTTTATCCGTGCCTTCGCTGCGTTTGAAACAAACATTTAAATTTCCTATTCCGCCGTCGGTCCACACCGAGCGGCCGAGCGAACGCCACATCGCGTCGCGCCACGTCCGGGCCGCCCGTTGGAAATCAATAGCTCCTTCGTCTCGTTATTTTCGCACGGGGAATTCCTCCGCGGGTGTTCGACGGCTTTCGACGGAATCTGTCGTACGCAACCGTGCGAGGTAAGACGCAGCGCCTGAATTCGCGTAGGCCGGTGTATCGCCAGCGATTTCGCCTCGAGTTCGCGCCGACAATGGAAAGCCGTGGACTCCCTCGAAGAGGATCGATCGCCTGTCCAACCCTTTTCACTCGGATTTATGCCGTGACGAAATTCTCCATTCTCCGGTACGCCGATTGCACACGTACCTGTGCAGCTCGGCCATTTCTATCGTTCGCTCGTTCGTTCGTTTACCCGTTCGCAAAAACAGACAGGGTGGGAATGGCCGAACCCGCACACGTAACACGACCATGTTCGCTGTCGCGTCAGCGGTTAAACGTGAAATCCTGTACTTCAGCGCGCCGCAAGAACCGCGTCATTTGCGCGCAGGCTGTCGCATCAGCTGTAAATAACGCCGTCGTTGAGCAGGAAATATTAGGCAAACGCGTTTTTACTAATTTCCCCTGCAGCATGCGTGGGCGCGCGCAAAAACGTTGTGCTTCCGGCGCATCGTGGGAAAGCGCAATATCCTGTCCGTGTGTTCAGTGAATTATAAAATCAGCACGGCGTTTTATGCGCCGTTCCGTCCGAATATGCACGGGCGTTGCTATTTTGGTACGTTACGACACGGTATTATTCTTTATTACCTCACGCGAGATGCCCACCCTTCCTCCCCCTTCTCACTTTCTCTTCCCCTCTCACCCTTCCGTTCTCTGCCGTCTACGTTCGTATTATTTATCAGTTCGTCATAAAGATTGATTTAAAGCCGTATTCCTCCAGCGAGATGTCCGCCAAATGCGACGCTGGGGATAGGAAGACGCAGCGACGGCAATTTTGCATAGACGCGCGGATCGATGCTGGCGAGTCCCCTGGGAGATGGCACACGGTAATAAGTGTCGCTAACTTGACGTTCTTCGCCATCCTTTCCGAGACTGTTCATGTCGTCAAAATGGGCGAGATACGATACGTCTCAATTGCTCAAACACACTCCTGCGACGGACACGCGATTCGACATTTCGCTCGGTTTGTATAGTAGGAGAAAATAAAAACGGAGAAATCAAGCGGCGACGAAAAGTTCACTTTGCTATTTGTTCGCGTAAAACTAATAACCGCCGCCGTACGACCCGGAAAATTCTCGGAGACGAGGGAGGACTTAACTTCGGATCTGCAAAATACCATTTTCCGGAAATGCACTTCCTGGAGGAAAAATATTTGCGCACGCAGTCAGATCACCTGCGCTAAGCGGCATCCGCGTGGAAACGAGATCGCTCTTCGTATCATATCCCCTTTTTCTCAATATGGCTCGAAATGTATATCCGTTAAACAATTAAACGATATTTAAAGGAATGCGACCTATAATTGATAAATATCCTTAGATATCCTGAAATAATTTCGTACATAATCTACAATCGTTGCGTCTTTTTCTCTTTTTCTTTCTTGAGACTGCAGTTTCAGAGGATGAACAACGTGAGTTGTTTCCTCCGGAAAATCTCCTTCGTTCATTTCCAGTGATTACAATTTGACTCTCCTCGGTATGTAAATCCCTGTCAAATCTCGAGTTGCTTTCGAAAACGGTTTCGCGAACGGTGAACAAAAATCACTAAGCACTTTCGAGCTTTAATCCGAACTCCATGTATTTTCTCATTTAATTGTTTTCCTAAAGCAGATTATCACGATGGCGCAGAGTAAAGGGTAGAGGTTTCCGCGGATTGTTTTCTTTCAATTCGGCGGTGCACTCGCGCGGATAGTTTATCTTCTCCTCTGCACCTTATTTCCCGATAAGCCAAATCGAAATAATTTACAGAGGGCACGGCGAATCTGTTACGTTGCTCTTTTTCTATTAAATATACGTTACACACAGCCGATGAAATGAGTCGGCAAAATATCGGTTTACGTTTCAATTTTCACTTATTTTTATAAGTAAACTCGGTATATCCCGATTTCAGAATTTCCGATATTAATCATTCGATCAAATCTCCGTTGCGTTTACGGCGACCGGTTATCGATAACGGGGTTCCGCGCGTAAATCGAGAAAGCATCTCGCATATTTCCGCACGTCTAGACAGTATATTCTTCAGGTTCCCGTACTATTTACCCTGTCTCCGCGAATATTACAAAAACGTGCGAAAATTTACGTCTTTCGCGCGCCCGCGTTGAACCGTGCACTTCGTCGCGGAAATTCCATTCATCCACGATGATATATTTATATCGTATATCTCCTGAAGAAATGCACAAGATGGGAAATTAAATTTCATAGAAGAGTAAATGGGTTTGAATACCAAGACGAAGGCGCGACCGCGTGATACATCGGCGGGCGAAAGCGGCAATTTGTACTTCGTCTCGCGCGGTGCCTGAAAAATTTGCGCCGGTGCGGGCCATTTCCGCGGCATCGATTGGCCCCGCTAACATAAGTGCGCTCGGCGGCGAATTTCCATTTTTATGGAATTCTGGATGTATACGAGACGCAGAGTTCTACCGAGCGGCGGTTAACCGAACGAACGAAAGTTAATGGCGAGATGAGCATTTGCGATAGACCGCTTTTACGTATACGTAACCGAGCATCTCTCGGAAATAGATGTGCTATTACAGAATACATTACAGAATTAACAGACTGCCATATATATACCCACACATGTGTACACACACGCGAGCGTACATTATAATTACAAATAACACAGAACGTTTATATTGTGGCGTTCCAATATTTCCCGATGGTATATGTATTTGTGGTTAAATTACAAATCGCTTTTTTCCTGTCGCTGACTGTTACACGTCAGTTGCATATCAATCGTTTTATTAATTTTACGTCGACCGAGCTGGTAATTTTTACATCGCAGCGGTGTAAAAAGTCAATATTTTTGTTCCGCTTCACTGTTAATCTAATTTCGACATTTTTACATTCTCCGCATCTGTCAAAATCGATGCGGATCTGTCGAAAAAGGGAACGTCGTGTAAATATGGGACTTTCTGTAACATGATTTGCAGTGTAAATTCATAGGGGAAGGAATATTTATATACGATAGAACCGGGACGTTGAAGTCGAGCACTGAGTGGTTTATATCGTAAACAGCTGAATATTAATGGGGTTCGATGAATTTATCCTCAAGCTGCGAGTATTTTCGGTTAAGGTTCGATCGTTGTGAATATTTTTGTCGAATTTTCCCGCACAAGATATTTTAGGAAGATTGCTACTTGGTACCATAGTGACGCGGAGCGACAGCACTAATTATTGATACAACTTGCGATAATAAAAAGTCGCGACTTCGATAGAAATGAAACAGGCCACCTATTTTCGCAACGGGAAAAAAGTTAGAAACAAATATAGCGAGATCTCTCTCTCTCTCTCTCTGTGTTTTACGTTAAGCTCTATATTTTACAACGATCTCACGAATTTGTGATGAATTTGAGCGTAACGTTGAGGGAAGGTTGCTCGGGTGAAAAAAGAGGGCTGGAAGAAGACCCGCGTTTATCCGGTTTATGCACCCGTGAAATTCAACGTCGGCGACTAATGGTCCGCGTCTCTCGGTTCAGCTCTGACAATTTTATTGACGAACGAATTCCGAAGCGCGCAGCTTCGCTACGTTGAGATCAAGACGTCCCGACGTTCCCTCTTCCGCGTGACTTACGAACATGATTTATTGTAATAGCGCTCTAATGTGAGTATTCCATCAGCTTGTAGGTATTCCATCAGCTTGTAGGACGCTGACATAGAAGATTGACGTGGGCGACATGACGTTTAGAAAAAATATAGAAAGTTCTAGGGGATTGTTTTGCGTTACAAAAAAAAAAAAAATAGAAAAAGCGAGAAGTAATAAGATTGAGAGAACACGCGGAGGAAACAGATTTGATAAATTTTCAAACATCTGCTCTCTCGCGATATATGAGTCGCTCTCCGCATTTCTCGCGGTTATCGAAATTGACGTTTCCACACACAGTGGTGGCTTTTATTTAATTCACAAGCTTCGCTTCAATAACAATTTGACATCACCGTTAAATATAGAGTGAAATTTAATATTGTGCATTAAAACGCGAGAAAATCGAATTCCAATCAAATTTTCTCCGAGAAAGCGAATGACTTTAAGCGATTAAAGAAACCGGACATCAAAGAAAACGCAGAGGAGGACTTGGGACACATTACGCGCATGAGGGAAGATAAATTTTACGAGACACGTCAACTGGAATTAATTACAAGCGATAAAATGCACGAGAACGTTTTCTCAAGTAAATTAACATTTTCTCCAAAAGCTTCTCTCTCGCGTATCTAAACTCTCATATCTTAAAAATCGTAACATTTTCTATCCCGCGTTCCGCAAGTTTGTAAAATTATTAGGAAAATTATTATTATTTGGCATAATTTTTAGTCCATTTTTTAAAATCTTGGGTTTTATTAAAAAAAATTGAATCATAGTTTAATCGTTAAAATATCGTTGTTTGCTATGATTTTTTTCCATCTTTCGGCTGGCAGATTCCGTCGCGGAAGAAGTGTGGAGGCGATGAAGTTACCGATGAATTTTTGGATTTCGGACGTATCTCGGAAATGCGGTGCAGCCAACGAATATTGCATCGACCTGAACAGGTGATAATCGGAAGGGGTCAAGTCTGGTGAATAAGCTGCGTGGAGAACGTCCCAGCTCAAATTAAAGATAGTCTCCTGAGTCGCAGTAACAACGTGTGACCGAGCGTTATCATGCAGTATTATAACTTTACGATTATTTTGTCCGTAAAATAGCCGTTTTTCATCGATTTCTTCATTCAAACATTTCCATTAGTCGCTGTAGCGTTGGACATTAATCGTTTGACCTGGCTCCAGCAGCTCGTAGTAAAGCACACTCTTCGCGTCCCACCAGACACCAGACAAAAAAGAATCTTCTTGGCGTGAATATTCGGTTTTGCCGTCGAGGTGAAAGACTCTCCGAGACTTATCTATGAATGTCGACGCTTAGGACTGTCGTATAGAATGCACTTTTTGTCGTCAGTAACAATCTTCCACAAAAATCCTTTTTTCCTTGTTTTGCAAACAACGAAACGCCGATATCTATTTTTAACTAACAATATCCAATTTCCAATTTCATGATCTTTCTCATCTCGTACAATCGTCTGGAAATTGTTATTCGATCGACTCCTAATTGTGTTGCAAGTTTCTCTTGTGTTTGTGCCAAGTTTTCATTTAACAATGCTTGCAATTGTTCGGTTTCATTTGCAAATATCATGGGACACCTTTGCTGGGAATAGAACAAATCGACTCACACATTATTAATCATGTATCGTCAAAGTTAGAGATAAACGTTGAAATAAAAATGTTACGTAATAATGAGGTACTTCGAAATATTCATCATAATTACATAGGGTTTATATTTCATGTGCCTCCAACTTTGGCGTTGTACGGTTAACAGTGAATGTTTTAGTAGCGTTCTTCCTTTATTGATTGATGATTTCAATGAATACAATGCCGTGCGTAGTTTATTATCAGCTATCATGTTCTTTACTTTCTCGGAAGATTATATTTATCGTTGCCACACGTTAAGTAGCGTTTAAACTACTGTTAAGGCAATATTTCAAAACTGCAAAAGGACAGCGAATATATTCCACGTTTAAGTAACGCTTTATCAAAAGCGATTCAAAGACAACATTTAAAAAATCATGTATATCCCTAATAATATCTAGACTACAGATACAAAATATGCGAAAAATTTTGGAAATTTTGCGAAAAATTTCGGAATGTTAATAAATTATTATTAATACACTTCATAATTACATTTCGCGTAAGTATTATAAATTTAAGCCGGGTACAGATTTGTTGCGTACATTTTCATAACGCATGTCAACGTATCATAAATATTATACATAAATACCATACATAAATAATCAATCCCTCCCCCCCCCCTTTTTTCACATGCGTCAAAGCAAATGTGGGTCGCGGATGTTTGCCGTTCTAAAAGTGAGTTGTGGTTTACACAAATTTAGGAAATAATCCAGAGAACTATTAGTTCGCGCAGCGACTCATGATCCGCCGGTTAATTCGTTTAGCAAGCGGCGGCAGTGCTGATTCCGTTGTCAATGAGAATTCGAAATACAACGATATGCGCGCGATCTCTAGCCGCGTAATAAATTTATATTATTTCGCGCGGGGAGACGCGCAATCAACATTCCGTATAAGCCTGCGGTAGTTTAATCGGGCAATCAGCTGCGTCGCCGCCACGCGACAACGGAGCATTCGATGCATTCCTCTGTAATCGGTTCCTGTCATGTTGAACACAAGCACCAGCAAGTCCGTTTATGTATCATTTACCGAAATACGTAATGCCGATTCTCACACGCCAATAACCGCTGCTCGCGATTCAGGCTAGATATTTCGTCGCCTGACCGTCACATTAACTCCAATTTGATATACACGCTGTGGCGTAGTGGTCAATTCTGTCGATTTAGCCACCGGCTAAAGTCAGTTTTCATAAACGTCGTGACATTTTACTCCGTCTCTGTTCCGTCTGTTTTCCTGACGAACGTGACATTGGTAAGATACATACAATTGGAAACATACAATTTTATCTGTTTGTTGTGTCGCATCGCCTTCTGTGAAGTCGACCGAAAGACCAAAACAATTTTACATTTAATGTAATTCTTTGTTGTACAATTCTCGCTGCATACAATGCTTATTTTAATCAAAATTATAATTACATCTTGCTAAATCGGCGAATCGTCGTTACACCTTGCGTTTGCGTGGGTAATTTAATGAATACGGGTTAAAACCGGAGAAAGCGAGCTCGATTAATGACTGCTTTTACAATAATTCTGCGCAAATATGGAGCTTAAATACGGCATTGCTGTGCGCTGCGAAGCCGGTTAGGTAATTTCGATAAATTCTGTCCCTGTAAAATGCATCGGAAAGAATTTCTCCCAGTTAAATAAATGTTAGTCGCAAAATCACGCGCGCATAAATCATAGATATTCTGTTATTCCGTACGTACCTATTTCACTTATTTTCTTCACTTATTTTCTCATAAATGTCACATTCACTTCACTTATTTTCTCATAAATGTCACATTTGCATATAATTTCGCATTTGCTGTAGATTTCCTTCAAATCGGCATTTTTCAAGGTAAGGTCAGGTCGCGAAAAGAATTAACAACTACGTCATCCCGCCGCTGTCGAACTTGATGCACATCCGATAAAACCGAGACAGTATGTTTAATCGATCAAGTATAACGAGTGCTTTTGTAATAATTAGATGCAACCATGCCGTGGTATTTGCGTTGCGAATTGTTAGCCCTTAATTATTATGCGAGGATAATTACGATGCGCATACGGTACATAACAGTACGTCATATTCGAACATCACGAATATCACGTCGCTTTACACGGATATGTTAGTGCCGAACATAAACGTAAAGCACAGTTACATGTTAATTGTGTGGCAGTCGTGTCGAAAAATGCAAGTATCGTGCCGATAATTAATACATGGCATAATCTTCAGGCATGTAACGATATGTCTTCGTGTGTCTGCTTCGTATCATCATAGACATAATAGCATATCGAATGAAGATGGTTAACTTTTCCATTTTCAAGGGAACGAATAAAATTTCTCCGTGTAGCAAAACAAATTTGACTCGGAATTGCCTGTTAAGATTAAAATGAATAATCTGTATATATGGAATGTTCCTTAAAATTGGAAGATAAAAACACTGCAAGTTTATCCTAGAATTTATATACATAAACTTAGAGTAGAAAATCTCAAAAATATAGATAAAAGCTATTATTTATTACAGTTCTATACTATTTTCTATCTCATATTTTCGAACCAAGAAGCTAATTAGAACCTTTTAAATCAACTCTATATGAAATTTGCCACAAAATAGCTTCAGTTTCATTTGGCTGCCAATAATTTAGTTCACAAAAAGTTTATCTATTATTTATAACTCTGAAACGCTGCACTGTAAACCCAAGTGTGTTATTTTTACATATATCAACGCCTAAAAAATAAAAATTTGATTGAAGCTCTTTTTAAATGTTTTTTGTTGTTTTAGATTACGTCATTTAAAACATTCAATCGTGTTATATTTTAAATTAACACGTCCAATCGTATTAAGCGTGATTTACAAGAAATATATAAGGAAAGCCTCAGCTAAAATAACACACACACTTGAATTTGCAGTATATTAGTATACATATTTTTTGCTCTAATTAACTACTAGATTAAATCATATTTTTGCCTAATTAATTTAGGATATTCCATATAGTTGATAAGTATTGTCTATATTTTAGCGACTTGAACTGTAAAAAATATAACATTTTTTTTCCACACGTCCAATTTTAACTGTGAGGACATAAATGAATAGAGATGTCAATAATCACCGAGGAATATTCTGCGAGGGATTTCAATTTTCCAAAAGTTCGGTGATTTTCAGCATACGGCAGAAACCGCCATGGCCCTGAAAGCAGGCGGATCAATTATAAAACGAACTCTATCGCTCTACTAATTGGCAAACTTACGAAGTTATTATTAGTAACCGGAGAATTTTGAAGAAGAGCGATTTTATAGAACTTAATTAAATTGCGCTCGATGTTCATACATATCGAAACTAATAATCATTATCGTTGAAGTGGTTCTACTGCCAAGCTGATTCATTTATCAGAAGGCGGCGGAATAATCTTGAAATATCCTACATTTCGAGGTGAAAGAGGATATAACGATTTGTTTGGCCGCGGTCCAAATGACATAAAAGCGTAGCGATGTTCGTTACAGGTTGCTTCCAATTCAACAACTGTTTGCCCAGTTATCCTCTGATAATAGCATAGATCACAATATTTTTTTTCGAAAACAGACTACCAATACATTTCCGGAAAAAGCCAAGTCTCTCGTCGTATGTGAACTGTTCAAAATATATTAAAATAAATTCCTTACATCGGCATTGCTTGTAAACAATGCTTGTAAACAAAATAAAACAATGCTTGTGACAAAATAAAACGGAGAAAATATCGCAATGCATATTTAACATGTGTTGTTTAACATGTAACTTTGCATGAGAGGTGACAAGTATCTCTGCGCCAATTTTGGGAAATAGGCTTCCAAAGCCCCACCTTGTTATACGGCGAAATTTATCACGCCCAATTACGCGAATGATAAAACATATAAATCCTGCGATATAATCCTACACGATCACGTTGAACATGAACAGTGCATATTGATTAATACGTATTATACTCGGGGTTGAACGTAGACATAGCGAAATGTAACGTGAATATATTGCTCCCCATATTGTAACCTGTAATGTCCGCCGGGATTCGCATACTTTTATCAATCAATCGATTAAATAACGGATTTAGAGCGTTTCGGTAATGTCAGAATAGCTGTAATACTAGGTACGACCAGTCCATTTAACCATCAACATTTATATGTATTACTAGACTGTATGTCAGATATGATAAAAAATTATACGAATACGTTTAGCGTCGGGACATGTCGCTTATTCGTGAAATGCAACGACGACGTCGCCACTGATGACAATTAAATCGGCGCAATTAATCCATCACCTGTTTTGCACAATTCTGTCTACGATAATTACGCGAGGTGAAAATAGACGTTTTAATACAATTCGCCCGTCGCATACAAACGAATTAAACAATAGAGACCCGGCTAGATCCCGAATTTACGTTAACTATGATAAATGCGATGGAAAGAAGAAATGGTAAAGATTCGGCACGTTCGCTATTCGCGCGCGGGCGGGCGAACGGCCGCGCGGAATAAACGACAATGACGGGAGGCGTGTTGTTGCAAGATATCTTTCGCGTACTAGTATGAATACATTACTCCTCGTATCTATGCAAGGTAGTTGGTTTAAACACCGTCGGTTTATCGACCAAGTCGACCTATATTCACGGCAGCATTATTGTTTAACGACTTCGCGTCTTGCACGGTCGCGGTCGAAAAATAGCGGCCGCGAGACCAACTCTACCGAGAAACGAGAATCGAAAGAATAACGGCGCCGCGATAGCTTCTCCTCGTCCGACTCGTCGCTTTTATTTCGGTGAACGTACGTGTACGTGCATGTACACGTCGAGCCTAATGTCAAAGGGAGCTCCGACAGGTTCAATAATGTCGACAGTAAGTCGACGTAATTCTCCAAGTGCCCTGGAAATCGCGAATCCCGAGAAACGTTATGTGATATACGACGAAGCGTGGAACATTCGAAATCCTATAAAATTCCGAATATTGAAATCGCTGGTA